AACCCAAAAGGATAATATTGAATTAAGAAAGGAAAAAAGAATAATAAAAAAGAAAAAAGGTAATAATCAAATTGGGAATGGCTGGAGACTTGCAGGGTATGCATGGCTTGACCATGTGTTGGTAGGGAACATTTCCCGAATGGATTGGCGGATGTGCAGGGCTGCGTCACTAATGCCCGGTGTGGACTAGAGGGAATCCTAGGGAAGGGGGAGGGGGAGGGAAGGAATAGGCGTGAGGCTGTTTTGGCGGACCCCGATGACCGATATGGCCGAGAGAGCGAAAGCGAGAGTGGGAGGGGGGCGCGGCCACGGAGGGTTAAACAGGATCCATGATATCAGGCAGTGCTAGCTAGACCAAGCCAGCCAGCCCCCCCCTCTCTTGCTCTTCTCCCCCGGTTGGTCCACCAATCTCGACGACCATGTGGTCCCATATCGATCTGCCAGAGATAGTAAGTAGCTACCGGACAGGCCCGAATGCCTGAGGATAGGCACATTTTCCCTCTATCCAAGTATATACAGCAATGCGCTTTTGAATATTCATCAAATACACAGATCAAATTGCATTAGTACGATACGACTTCAACTGTCTACTAACTAGGCTATGCGTTATGTCTTCCCCCTCCCCCATCATGCAGCATTCTCCCGAGATTCTACGGTCGTATATTCCCTGTCAAATCATGCAGTGCCGAGAGGAGCTGAGTTCTGTCGGTCCAGGATTCGAAACGAATGCAACAACGGGCCCTTTCCGGACTAGTTGGATAGCGTGTCTTAAAGAGAGAAGCCGTTCAATTGAGCCAACCGAGACGGTCAAAAGCCCCAAGAAGCTACTGCTGCTGCTGCTGCTGCATGGCCATCCTTCCATTCCCACACCCACTCACCCCCCTTGATGATAAGTCAACCTCGCATGTTGAGTGTGATTGAGTATGTGTGTGGGTGTGGGTGTGGGGGAGAATGGGCCCAGCATGGCGGGCTCCTAATCTAGCTAACTAGCTTTTCCAACTTCAGTAAATAGAAATTAGGCTTGGAGATTTGTCCTACCGATGGACGGCCTAAGAACGTAGTCTCGAACCGAGTGACCCAATTACATTCGTTCCCTGGGCTTTGAAACGAGCGGAAAGGTCTGTGTGAGGGTTGAATGTGCGTGGCTTAAGCAGGATGTTTGTTGGACTGGTCTGCCAGGAGGGGGCTGAAAATGAAAAGCGCGGCTTTTACAAATCTAGTGGTATGTTGGGTGGCCTTGTATCAATACTGTATTGGTATGGATTTATTGGGTAATTAATTAATTGATTTGTTGGGTATGGTTACACAACCTGTTTCCTTCTGCCTCTTTCCCCTCCTTCTTCTTCTCATCACACCATGTGAGGCAGGGCGATTGTTCAATAGATGAGGAATTTATTTAATTGTCTCATGAACTCTATAGACGTCTTGTGCTTGATGAATGCGTTTCAATAATTATGTTGTTCTGTTTCAAGTGTTCCATTGCCGATGATCCGCGGAGATCCATTACATACATACATACATACATACGATTTGTGTATGAAGGAGAGTTACTGTAGTCCTCAGGCAATCAAATATCTCCCAGAACCAACTAACCACTAACCCATTAGCTAATGGTTCATCCTAGACCCGTAGCCCCCAAAGACCCATTAACCAGGATATAGTAGTGACTACTACTAGCTAGGTACCTACTCCAATACTACCTACCATCGTGGTAGCACTACCATCATCACCACTATTCCGGCCTTTGTCTTTTGTCTTTGTCGCTTAAATCCAACAGGTTCGGGTGAACCATGGAAATAGTGGAATTTCCGCAGCGTGTGTCTTAGTAGGCACGTTTTAATCTCCATCGTCTAGGATGATTGGCGGGCGATGTCACCATCCTCAATTAGCTAGACTAGTAAGATAGTTACCCATCCTTCAAGTCAGATCATAATTGCTGTCGTATTAACGACGTTTTTTGTGCAGATTACCGCTGGATTTCTCTCCCCCCCTCCCTTCCCTTCCTTCCCTCAAGCGGCATTCCTTCGAACCATGTCTTGGGCGAACCATATGCAGAAACGGGTCAATTTGGATGGAGCACGTGGTTGTTGCCGTATACTTTATTTAATGTAGTACGCTGTGCTCCGTGGTACTCACCTCTAGTCTACTAGTTATCTATCAGTGTCCGGTTACCTCTTTCGTATCGCCCGGCACGGCACTGTTCGGCCCTAATTGCTGCCGGGTCGTATTCGCGTATCTATGAGTTACGCTGATTACGAGTGCTAGATGCGGTTACCTAACCACTGTATCTACTGGGTTACTAGTATAATAGTAATGTACGCAGTAGTTACTACATTGAGGAATCCTTTCGACGTCCACACACAGCCCCGGTAATGCACACATAGACGCACAGTTTCTTCAGCTCCTGAGTTTCGAGCATCACGTCTTGTTGTCTGCCTTCTTTTGCTCATCGGTCTCTGTTGACCTTACATGCTATGCAATGCATGATTCTCAAAATAGCCCCATCCAATCATGCCCGCGTGCGCCCGCTCGCGCTTATTTCCGAATTTAGATAACTGCTAGGAAATCATTGGAAAAGTGCCATTTGGGTGCCGACCATGAGGCACCGGCATCAGGCTACTAGTCTCGTTACTAGGTGACCACCTGCGTCAAGTCTATCTGCAGGTCGAGGACAAACTGGGATGGAGGGAAAAGGGTGGTGCGTGTGTGTGAAGGTGGTGAGTGTGCCTCGATTGACACGAGCAGCGCCCCTTCTAGTGCACGGTCTCGACTTCTGCCACGTTGCACCCCTCGATCTTGGCAGCACACTAAGGATAAAGATCTCACCTATTCCGAACGGGTGGTGGGAATGAGGGGAAAAGGGAGGGGAGAGGGGGACAGAGACGGAAGGGGGGGCGGCGCTGCTCATCCACTCTCTTAGCTATACTTTTTCTGAAAAGTCACATTCCTTTTCCCTTATAGGTAAGCCAATGCCAGTTGCTGATTTGTTGGATGACTTGCTTCTGGAGGGTGTGGTGTTTGTTTCATCTATCTTTGTCAACCATCATGTCCATGTCCATACCTTGCCGATGCTTGGAAGTTGCAGTTGGATTGGGCGCAATGAGACATGAAGAAGGGAGAGAAACTTGCAGATCAGTTGATCACTTGATTTCCTAACTTCGATCAAGCACAGCCCGGGTTGCGGACAGTCCGGAGATGGGGAAGATAGTAGCCTTGTTTCGGAGGCTACCAATCTCCGGCCTCGAAGTTGACTGACTGATTGACTGACTCTCTGTTCCCGCAATACAGCCTTTCGGTTGCTGAATTAGTTTCGTTGGTGATTTTTCCTTTCCGTTTTATTTTTAACATTAAGGTTTTTATTTTATCTTTCATTATCGTCAATTGCCATAAGAAGTCGTAATATTGTTATCCGTTAGCGCTTCTGGATAATAGATAGCCTTATCGCGAAGTGGTCAGTACTCCTCACCTCCCATGATGGGATAGATGGATGCATGCACATTGCCCCGAGATTATTGCATTATCAAGGGCCCCTGCTTGTACCTGGTGCTGGTGCATACAACATTCCGGACTCTACCCCCAAGGAGGTATTTAGCTAGGTGGCTATGTAGCTGCGGAAGAGAATCACAATTCGAAGAGCCCCCAATGTCAAGGCTCTTGCCAGATTCGGTTTGTAATCTAAGGACCAGGACCCCTGCGTACTGTTAGTGGATGCCATTACAAATCAGATCGGCAACCCCCAAGAAATCCTGTGGATACTAACCGGGAGGGGGAACGACGGAGCGGGGACCACCTGGGTCCACTGGTACACGAGCGGGCCAGTGACATTGCACAAAAGGCGAGAGGCTTTTCAGCCCCAAGGTGTCATTCCTCCGCTGCAATTGGCTATACGAATTACTTACCGTATTTGGATATTGGGCCTGGGGAGGATGCCTTACTAGCACGCTCCCGTGTTTTACCTCCTATGAGGCTCAATCACTTGCATATTTCAGTCTGATTGACATACACTGCCTCAGAGCCAGGTGTCAACGAGTATTCCTGTCTGCACACTGTCCATGTGTAGGGCTGATGGCAGTTACGGTTCATGGTCCATGGCTTATTGGTCCAACACTGAAATTCCCCAGCCTGATTCAAGAGCGGAGTAGTAAGTAGGCCTACTAGTACGTCAAGCCTTCGATGAATCACATATCACATGTATTGCCCGGTCGGAATGTCTGGCTTCTGAAAGCGGCGAAGCAATTTTCCTTTACCCTGGCTCATGTCTTTTCTGTGGGAGTCTGCGTCTGCATGTGTGTCTCCATCTGATACAAGAAATCGCAACCCATGACTCGACCCTTCTCATACACATGTAACCATATCTCGTATGGGTGTGCCTGGCTATTTTGTCCTCTTTCTTCATCAGGCCTCGCGTGCCGACCTTGTGCACTAGAGCTGGGCAAATAGCGTCATCATTGGTCCAGGGTAGTGCTCGTATATTTCTGCATGCCGACGGCCTATTACTAGTGCATGAAGATGCACTTTTTGACAGGGATTGGGGGAGCGCCTGCGGCGGCCAAGGGTTGCCAGATACTGAATCGAACCTTCTGGTACATATCTAGAAGCACTGGTCCTTGGCGGACGGCACAACTGGTTGGTATGTTTGCTTGCTCGGTCGTCTCACTGGCCGGCTTCTGCGGCATCAGAGATATTAATAATATTCAGGAATGCAGTATGCGCCAGGCCTGCAGTAGTCTTGACCGTTAGTTCCAAAAAAACGCAATATCCTTTTGGGTGCAGAACATTATCCTGAGAAAGGTTTAGTAGCTTGGAAAGGATATCGTATCGTCGTTTTCATGTATATTGAACTTATAATGTTTGTCGGACTGGAAGTTTAGTTCGGAATAGGTAGTTGGACGCTAAGTGTGGAAATAGCAAGTTAGCTTCAGGTCTATGATTCACATCGAGAGGACCTTCGAGTAACTACTCTGTGGGTAGCATCTGGACTGTCCGTCTGGCCATGTCGGATGGAGCGGCCATTAATTTCCGCGCGCGCAACTTTCATTCCCGGTGGACGTGAGTCACGGTTGACAGGATGGCATGGGTTAATCTTGGCCGCCCCGCACGCCGCCAGGAATGGGAGGATGACGAAAACCCACTTGGACAAAGTACGGGGACTCCACGTGCAAAGGTCATGGCGTTTGACGGGAAGGGAGGGATGGTGCAATCCTTATCGGCCGTGCTAAATTAATGCCAGCATGCCTCGTGGGAAAAGGTCGGAGGCATTCATGCGACGGCTCAATGCCTGGCCTGAGGAATCCTCAAGCTTTCAGGAACCTTGTCTGACTTTCCTATAGATCTGACGATCATTATAGTCACATCATTGTTCCCCCTTCATCAGATTCAAGGCGCTGCCACTCAGAATCATAATATTGATGATGTTTCGTGAAGACATAAAAAAAAGAAAGTTATCTTTTGACTAATAATGGCTGTGGGCAAGGTTCGCAACAATGCGTCTGTTTTTTTTTTCTTCCTTCTTGGTGTTCCTCCACAAACACAACATTATAGTGTTGGCCCCATTTTCGCAATAATCGATGCATTGCTATCCTAACGTGGCAGCGACATGAGGCCAACATCGCCTAGTCTTCCGCCCCCTCAACCTAGCAGGGGACTAGTTTCAGAACGGAGCAACGGCAGAAATGGCCCCCAATTTCATACTCGCTGCTCCATATCGCAATCTTTTCTCATAGGTGCCCATGCCCACAGACCCTTTGCGCCAGTGTACGGTGTAATAAGCCGGGCACGTCTGTTACAGCCCGCTCGCTTACTATTTGCGACCCATGCCACACCCTTCATGCTCGAAATGAGCACACCGATGTGACTCGATGATTAAATGATCGACACGCTGAAGCTGATTATGTACTGAAAATAATATTGACTGAATAGTTGCAACAGTGGCTTGTCGTCTCGTAGACTTTGTCTGCTGGGAGAGTATATCCCTAGTGCTACCATGTGTTGATGAGAGTGACACCAATAAACGAGGGTACCAATCACCATCTGTAGATCCCACTAGGTAGTACTAGCCTTGGCCCATTAGTAGTCCACCAGATGCATGGGGCACTGCTGCGGTTATTTAAAATCCAGAGGGCTAGTTATTATCGCAATAACGTTCACCAGTGGAGCTGGTACAGGTCTGTTCAACGACTTTGACCAGGCCTGGTTTAATGAACCTAATGCTGCAGATTGCCGACACAATGACAAAACCAGGTGCCGCCTTGGGCGCTTGCTACTTTGCAGTTGCCCGTTGACTCGGAAATTCTAAAACGGACAGCCAGAGCTGCGATTTGTTGATGTCTTTGTGGTAGCCAACCCACTGTGACGGGCTGGGTGCCTAAGGTGGATTCCATTCGCGTTTTGGCTGGTTGCAGGACTAGCGATGCAGAAGCCAACACAGCAGAGCCTCATCCAAGTGCGTGCGTAGCTGTTGTGTTGTGTGTGTATAGAGGGCTGTGTGCACAGCCAATATGGGCGTACACATATCGCAGACGCCTTACCTTGCTTGGTGGTAATTAATTATTTGTAGTTAGTCTAGTTGTCGGCCTGCCCGACGAGGGTGGTAGTACAGGTATCGGTCTGTACCATGGACCAGGAGTGTCTGGAAGGCTCCGTAACGCCGTATCAAACCAGATTGGTAACCGGTAGCAAAGAGGTTCAATGCGAGTAGCATTGTGCATAACTAGGATGTGATTTCCAATCCTAGAATAAGGTGTTGACGAGAGCCACGGGTAACTATGGCCGCCTAAGACTAGTAGTATCTGTTAGAGAATATTGGGGAACCATTAGAAACCCATTTCGTCAGATGTCTCGGGGACGGTGAATGTGCTGTCCGAACTCCGCGGACTGTCCGGAACGGACATAGTTCTGCCGACCTCATTCCGGCAATCAATCCATTGAGCAATCAATCAAATGACTTCTTGTACGAGTGTATTGGGGACTAATTGGCCCGGTCAGTAGATTAAATGAACCCTTGTGAGTCCGAGTTACGTCAACTCCTTCGGACATCACTTGTGTGGTAGTGGGTCGGGTTATTCACTCTATCGGGCTGCTGCTAGCTGGGAGTAGGCAGGCAGCTGCCTTCCTTCGCACGGGTGATTGTGAAGGAAGAATTGATTGATTGATTGATTGATTGCTGTCACCTCGTGGCAAAAGCTCGGGGTTTACTGCGGCTCGTCCGTCTCCGTGTCGAGAACACGCTAGTATGGAGAACAGAGTACTGATGGGGCCAATACGTCCGTCCCCATTTGTGCTTTGTAGGCCTTAGGCAGTGATAGTCGACATCTCGCCAAGACCACGATCCTACTGCTTGGGCCGGTGTTGAAGAACATTGGTCGTTAAGGTGCCCCATCGGTCGTTTCAGATTCTGTAGGCTTCATGGCCCACTCTCGAGCTAGCACACTGCCACACTGCTCGGTTGGACTAGATGTGTTGCAAGGTCACGGCGATCAACATCTCCGGAATCTGTTGGCATGACGGTATGGATAGGGTTCCACCATCCATTCGCATAGACTCCCACTACTGGCTAAACTGCCATGGATGGAGCATTCTGTGAGAATTGAATCGCTCCATCTCGGGAAAGAAGGGACAGAAAGACTGACGGAACGGATCCTGCCGGCAGAGTAAGGCATAGTGGACACGAGACTCCTACTGCTGCTGCCAAATGCTCGATGATCTGCTCGCAAGTGATTGTTACCTGGATGGGGTTCAGTAGCCTGAGGTTGGTTGGTCTTCCTAGAAGTCGCCCCGTAGTTGATACTATCTTAATGCTACTCCACAGTTCATAGAGGTACACTGACTCACGGAGACCTGGAAGTATGGGCGGACCAGGAGATGTTGGATATCCCGTGTCCGGGCACTGCTCTCCGTGTAGTTCGGGGCCGAAACCGGACAGCCACGCCCTACTGGTCTTCGTGACTGGGATCCCATGGGCGTGCATCTACTCCATTGATGAGGAGATATCCAATAATCAATGAGTCTGGCGGGATACGCATCTGGCAATTGTCGATCATTCTGTGTCGATTGTTACGACTCGAGAGTATGGTAGCTAGGATATCATTGTGTAGCGATACTATTTACAGAAACGGCTGAGCGTGCCAGCAAACCAAATTCACCCGAGTCACAGCCCATGTTCAACACAGCTGCCCTTTGCACCTCACGAGGGGGTGAAACGCAACCAACTGAGACAGGGGACATGCCTCAGGCGTCCTGCAAGTAATCGCTCCAAGGCACGGCTGACTACGTCTGCCATGGCCCGTTATCTGCAGGCTCCTCGCGTGCATCGCCATCATCCTTGACCTCTGTTGCTGGACGGGCGTGTATGTCGTGCAGGAGGCCGCAGATGATGTTTCCGTCTTGTCTAGGATTACCTGGCAGACACCTTCAGTCCCGTTTCCTGAGAACGCCAGAAACTTTGCCCTCGATTACTGGGGTAATCCAATCACCGCTAGGTCGCAAGACGTAAGAAACAAAAAACCCGCCTTTCTTTTGATGTGATGCTCGTGCTCGCCAAGAACAATCACCACTAAATCGACGTATAGTAAGAAACATGCCAACAAGACCGGCCATTTGATATCCATCTATCATCAAAATATACCAGAAAAATCTAGCAATGCAAGCTTAAAAGACCATTTCCATTCTTAACACCTCTTTTCGCTGATTTAGAGGACATAGCTACTGGTCGGTTAGCAAGCTGCAACATCCATAGGGAAACAGGCAGGCTCTAAACTTACCTCCAAGGGTGACTCTCATCACCATACTGGATACCCTCGATCCAGTTCTTCATCTGAAGAGCAATTTCGCCTGCTTCCTCAGTCTCCTTAAGGCCGCAGTCGACCAGCTTACCCCGGTAGCTGATTGTCCGCACGGGACTCACAATAGCTGCAGTACCGGCGCCGAACACTTCGATCATTCTGCCCTCCTCGGCCGCTTCGGCGACTTCGGACATCTTGAGCTTACGCTCGGAGATGGTCCAGCCCTTGGGCACCAGTCTTTCCCTAGCCAGCCCCAGCACGGAGTCTCTGGTCACACCCTCAAGGATTGTTCCGTCCAGAGGCGCAGTGATCAGTTCCTTCTGGCCAGTTTCCTTGTTCTTCAGAGCAACGAAAAGGTTCATGGTGCCGACCTCGGTAATGTATTCCTCCTCTCCAAAAAGCCACAGATTCTGCTGGAAGCCACGGGACGCCGCCTCCAGCTGAGGGAGGACGCAGGGGGCGTAATTGGCGCCCAGCTTCTTGTCTCCAACACCACCAGGCCAGGCTCTAACAGCATAGTCGGTAGCCTCCAACGAAATGGCCTTGAAGCCAGTAGGGTAATACGGGCCAACCGGGCTTGCAATCACGAACAGAAGAGCAGAGCCCGGGGGTCCCACACCGAGAGTCTTTTGGGTTCCAATCATCGTGGGCCGCAGGTACAGAGAGTAACCCCGCTCGCTATTTATTTAAAGGTAAGTTATTATCCTCAATCATCAATTGGTGGGCTTTTCACCAACCTTGGAATGAACCTGCTGTCCAACTTCACAAACTCTCCAATCAGCTTGGTGAGGGCCTCGCCATCGAAGGAAGGCAAAGCAATGCGCTTCGAGGATTTGTTCAAGCGCGCCATGTTCTTGTCCGGACGGAACAAGCGAATCTGACCAGACTGGTCCTTGTAGGCCTTCATACCCTCAAAACATTCGAACGCATAGTGGAAAACACAAGCCGACGGGTCGAGACTGAGGTTCTGATACGGAACAATCTGGGGAGAGTGCCATCCCTCCGTCGCGGTCCATTCAATCGAGAGCATATGATCTAAGATGGAATGCGCATTAGAAATTGAACAGCGCTGAGAAACGACACGTGCTTGTCATACCGGTGAAGGTCTTGCCAAAGACCAAGTCCTTCGGGGCAGTCAATTCCTTAGGGGTATTCGTCTTCGAGACTGTAAGTTTCGAGGGGTCAAGGGGGGCTAGTTGGGAGGCAGCAGCTGAAGTAGCACTGAAGCATCTCTTCCATAACTGAGCCGTTGCGGGAGATTGAAAGGCGCGCGGTGCGACGAGGCTTTGTAATGCCCTGCGACGAGCGAATTGAAATGATTTCATGATTGCTTTCCGGCTTAAATAACAATTCAGGGGGTAATAACACCGGAAAAAAAAAAATAGGAATCCCAGCAAAGAAGCGCAGGAGAAGAACCACGACAGGAAATAAACCAGAAGAATGTACCGACAGGACCGAGGGCGGGCTGTGGAGCTTAAAAGGCGGATAAGAACGGTAGTCTATGACT